CCCTCCTGGTGCCTCCCCCTTCCCTCACTGCCCCTGCCCCCTTTGCCTTCTTTTTCCCTGATGCCCACCCCCTCACCACTCTTTGCCCCCATTCCCCTCACACCCTTCTTTGCCCTCAAACATGACTTGCTCCATCCCTACCCCTTCTTTCAAGCCTTCTCCCAGCACCTCCCGCCTCTAGTCCCCAATAACCTTCCCCTCTCCTCTCCTCTCCTCTCCCAGTATCACCCTGTCTCCCCTCCCACTGACACCTTCCCTCCTGCCCTTTTCTTCATTGTTTCCACTTGCCCCCTTGGCATTTGTCTCTCCTCCATCCCTCCCTTGGTGCCTTCCCCTTTCTTCTCCTCCTGACCTGCCCCCCTCCCCTCAGCACAAGCACCTTCCTCTCCCATCCCTTCCCCCTATTTTCCCCCTCGCCCTCGCCTGCCTTCTGCCTTCCCGTTTGCAGGGCTGGAGTCTGCTGCAATCGGGCCCCAGAAGTCCCTGCAGCCCAGGCTCCAGACCATGTGCCAGAGCCAGAGCCGGAGCTGGGCTGCTCAGCGCTCACAGCCCCGGCCCATCACAACACGGCCGGTCCCGCCCTAGCGAGAATCTGCTCCCCCGCACCCCACTTGGCACGTCTCCTTCCGAGGCACAGCTTGGCCATTTTTAAAAACGCAAACACCCCGCCCCCAGCGCACCCCTGGCTCCTCCCGACGCTGCCGCCCGGGCTGACAGCTTCCCTTCTTCAGCCGGGGTCAGCTTGCCGGCCTCCTCGCCGGAGTCCCTCGGCCCAGTGGGGTCTTCTGGCGGAGCCGTAAGTGCTGGCAGCGCCCCTACTGGCTCCGGTGCAGAGTGCACGCCTGTGCTTCCCCTCCGTCCCGGGCTGGCAGAGTGGTGTCCCAGAAAGCGTGGTGCCCTACGCGATTGCATACTCTGCGTATGCCTAAGGACGGCCCTGAAACTGAAGCACGGAAGGGATGCGGAGGACTCTCTACAAGTCATCTGGCAGCAGGGCTAAGAATAGAACCCAGGAGCTTGGCTTCTTGACCAGCTCTACCCACTAGACATCCACTTCCTTCCTAGAATTGGGACTAGAACCCAGGAGTCCTGCCTCTTAGCCTCTCCTTGCTCTAACCACTAGACCCATTGACCAGATAAACCATCTCTGCTCAGAAAAGAACCCAGGAAGTTCTGGCCCCTGATCCAAGCAGTGGACCATACTGCTGCCTCCTGCCGAGCCTGTCAGGGAACTGAAGTGAGTCTGTATGAAACCGCTGGTGGATTGAGACCCCAAGCAGGAGCTCCTCTCCTCCCCAGTGCCCGCCCCGGAGCGTGGGGGCAGGGAGGAGTCGTCGCCATCTTTACCTGCAGCAGGACTTTCACGCACTGGGGCTGGCAGGCGATGGTGGCCAGGTGCAAGGCTGTGCTGCCTAGGGAGCAGAGCAAAGGGAGAGCATCAGGCCTCAGGAACAGAGAGCAGAGCCCTTCCGGGAGCTGAGGCGACTCTGGGGGTTGCGTAGAGCAGGCCAATTGCCCAGCGATAGATCCTGATTGTGGGGGGCAGGTTCAGGACATGCCTGTGGGCTGTGCCGCGGTCTGCGATGGCAACAGGCGTTCTCTCCCCTGGCTGGGTGCGGCTTATCTTCTCAGGGTCCAACTCAGTGGTCACCAAACAATGAAATGCACAGCTGGGGCTTGAGGCCACCTACTAAAACGTGCAGCACTGACCAAGACCAGATCCAGGGGGCACACCTCTAGAGGGAGACAATTTGGCAAATCAGGTCTAACAGGAGGCAGGAAATGTGGTAAGATCAACCACTGGTCTCCCCCAGGATGGGCTCCCTGCAGGCTGAGCACTTGGGTGTCCAACCAGAAGAGATTCCAAAGCCATCCAGCGCAATAGCAGAGCGCACACAGGCAGCAGCAGGTGTTGTGCACATCTGCACACAGGTAACTGCAACCAGGCCTATCTGAACCTGGGACCTCTGGAGCTTAGTGTAGGTGTCTCTACAGCTTGCGGTCTAAAGCCAACTGCCTCTCAGCTTAGGCTGTGGAGCTCACTTGTTCTTCTCTCTTACAGTAAGTGGTCTAAGTCCCACTAGATGGGACAGTGAACCACACTAGGGCTATGTCTACACTCGCGGCTTCTTGCGCGAGTAATATGCAAATGAGGCTAAGCGTGGAATATTGCCGAGCCTCGTTTGCATACCTAATAAGCCACCATTTTTTTCAGAAGAGGCTCTTGTGCAAGAACGAGCGTCTACACTGCCCCTTCTTGCACCAGAAAAACCCTCTTGTGCAACGCCGCTCTTCTTGAAAAGTAATAGGTGTAACGGCGTTGTGCAAGAGGGTTTTTCTTGCGCAAGAAGGGGCAGTGTAGATGTTCATTCTTGTGCAAGAGCCTCTTCTGAAAAAATGGTGGCTCATTAGGTATGCAAATGAGGCTCGGCGATATTCCACACTGAGCCTCATTTGCATATTACTCGCACAAGAAGCTGCGAGTGTCGATATAGCCTAGGGGTACGTCTACACAGCACGCTAATTTAGAAATAAACTATTCTGGAATAGTTTTTCAGAAATAGCTTATTTTGAAATAGTACGTGTACACTACAGGGAAGCCTCAAAATGACTTTGAGGCAGGATTCCCTAATGTGGATGTGCTACCTCGAATTAGAGCCCCAGGAGGCACTGGGGAGTAATTACTTTGAATGGCTGTGGAGAGGATCTATTTCGAAATAGCAGCAGTGGAGCATCCACACTACTGCTATTGCAAAGTAGCTATTTCGGAATAAGCATTATTCCTCGTAGAATGAGATTTACAGATTTCAAAATAAGCCATTCATTATTTCGAAATAATTTCAAAATAACAAAATTGCTGTGTAGATGGTCGCGTTGTTATTTTGAAATAACTGTGCTGGGTAGGTAGGTGTGCGGATTACACACAGAACAAAATTTATTCTGCACATGGATAGAAAACATTAGTGGGAACACTGATGGCAAGAGTCAACAGCCTCTCATTATCTGCATTGCAGATACAGGTTGAACCTCTCTAGTCCAGGACTTTGTGGTCCGGCAACAACCATGGTCCGGCATCATTTCAGTTAGCCAGGTGTCCACTTATCACGGGTGTGGCCAAGTTTTCTGCAGTCCCATAAAGTTTATTTATAGCCATCAATCCTGGCTCTCAGTGTTCTGTGCTGTTATTTAGCTCTAATATACCCCTAAATGTCTTCTAAGAGCCCAGCAAGCAGTGGGAGTGTTGATAATGCTGCTAGACAATATTGACCTGCTGTGGATCGGCAAATTCTCTGGTTTGGCTCTGGTCACATCCCGAGGGCAAGAGAGGTTCAACCCGTAGCACTTATAAACCCTAGACTGGACCAGGGCTCCTCGATGCTAGATCCCGCACAACCACAGAACAAATAATCAGCCCCAAAGAGCTGGCAAGCTAAGCACAGTGGGTATGTTACACACACACACACACACACACGGCTATGGCAAGCTAAGCACTGTGTGTATTTTACTTACACACACACAGAGCTATGGCAAGCTAAGCACAGTGTGTATTTTACTTACACACACACAGAGCTATGGCAAGCTAAGCACTGTGTGTATTTTACTTACACACACACAGAGCTATGGCAAGCTAAGCACTGTGTGTATTTTACTTACACACACACAGAGCTATGGCAAGCTAAGCACTGTGTGTATTTTACTTACACACACACAGAGCTATGGCAAGCTAAGCACTGTGTGTATTTTACTTACACACACACAGAGCTATGGCAAGCTAAGCACTGTGTGTATTTTACTTACACACACACAGAGCTATGGACTAGATGGCCCATTGTTCCAGTGAGGCAGAAAGTGGGACACCAGCCCAGGGGCCTGGTCCTGACCCCACTGAAGTCATCGATTTCAGGGAGCTCTGGACCAGATGCCCTCTGAGCAGGAGTTGTCCTCTAGACTACCCGGACCACGGACCATTGGGCCGGGCAGGAGGCGCAATGTTGGACTGAAGGGACCAGCGATCTGATATGGCCTGGCAGAAGGCAGGATGGTTAGTAGCCTAGATGGACTCTCAGTCCAGGCCAGTCCAACACTCTCGGCTCCTCTACCGAGCCCCCAACACGTACCGTCGTCGTTCGTCTGGTTGACTTCGGCCCCGTGTGACAGCAGGAGGGTCAGGCATTCGGTGAGTCCTTTGGAAGCTGCCAGGTGGAACCTGCAAAAAGGAGGAGAAGCCAAGACTAATTGCAGGGGCGGCGAGAAACTCACCAAGGGACCCATGTGTATGGGAGCAGCGACCGTGCCACCCTAAAGTCACTGGCTGAGAGAAACTCCATCTTTCTCCCTAGAGAACCCCTGATGTTTCTAATGCTTAGAGGAGGGGTAAGGAGCCAGGTTCTAGTCATAGGTCTGGGAAGGGGTTGGGATCTAGTTGGTCAGTAACATATGTTACCATCGGCAGCCATGTCTGCACGGGCCTTGCTGGGTGAAAGAGTCGCTCACAAAAATGCTGCTCATCAGGAAGGTGTGCTGTCCACCGGCACCAGCTGTTCAATTGGCAGTGCCATCTGGTACAGCAGCACATCACTCAGATTAATGGGACGATAACATCTGTGGTGATGTGGTGTAAGATAGGGACCGTCAAGCCCCATGCTTCAGGGCATCAGCAGGTCAGGAAGGAATTCTCCGCTACCATGCGTGGCATTGCACAATTAGCCAGGTACATTACAGGGATTCCACACACACACACAGCCTTCAAAGCCTCAGACAGCCATCGCTGTTAGGGGCAGGATGCAGGAATCTCTGGACCAATGATCTAGGCTGGAGACAGCTGGCTAGATGAGATCAAAGCTTTGCTCTGGTATAGAAAGAGGGAGGGAAAGCAGACCTCATGCTTTAGTTATTCTTCCTCTTTTTAAAGCAACTTGAGGCCTCAGATGAAAGTCCCTGTTCCAAAGAACTTAGACTCGAAATAGACCAGACGGACAAAGGGTGAGAGAAAGGAAGGGTTGCAGGTGGGGAAACTGAGGCATGGACTGCCAAAGTGATTTGTCCAAGGTAAATGGGAGAGCCATGTCTCCTGAATCCCAGCCCAATGCCTTGGCCACAAGACCACCCCACCTGTAAATGGGCAGGTGTGCTCTGCCAGGAGGCGGGGATGCTAAACTGGATAGGATTGGAACAGGAAGATGGGGTGGAAGGGGTGTGTGACCCGATGGCCCGGTGTTATGATGTGGTGCATCTAGCAAATCCCACATGCCTGTCTTAAAGTGACATTCCCTGGGCAGAGAGATGTGATGGGAAGGGCGCGGGGCTTTGTCCTGGCTCCGTGGAAATTAACCGCCCAGCTGTGCCTGAGCACCAGCCTTCGGGGTACATTTAGATGCAGAATAAACAGCTGGGTGAGCAGGAGGGAAGCAGTCAAGAAAACTTACGTACGCCGATTGGCCCAGGGCGTTGAGCTTGGTGGGTCTCGCTGTCTTTCTGGAAGCCAGGACGGAAACTCTGCCCACGTCCCCCTTCTCGACGGCTTCGAAAAGCTTCTGGTCCTGTTTGTTCCAGCTCTCAACCTGATTCAAAGAGAGCAGCGTGGAGACAGTGAGCCTGGGCAGGGCTGGAGGACACCCCACCGCGAGAGGGGACAGCATGGCCAAACCGAGCCAAGGCTCCCCAGGGCGAAACACCAGCCTGAGAGCCAGGTGTCCTGGCTCATCTCACTGCTGCTGCTGCTGCCTCCTTTCTGGGCAAAGGCAGTATGGACTAGGCAGAGTGGAGAGAGACAGAATATTAGAACCGGAAGGGACCTTGACAGGTCATCGAGTCCAGTCCCCTGCCCTCCTGGCAGGACCAAGCCCTGTCTAGATCATTCCTGAGTACGTCTACAGTGGAGTTCTCCCTTCCACTTAGTTGGCTGCAAATTAACTCGAGGGCATCCCAATGCTTGTGAAGGCTGGTCCGGGCACTCCCCCAAACACTGGCTTTCTTTAGGGATTAATCTAGAGGAAAACCACAAATATGTGAGGAGCGTCCAGGGCAGTTTCTACAAAAGCTGACGCCCTCTGTAACCTGCATCATCCTTCCACTGCCTTTGTGCCTCAGTTTCCTCATCTCCCAAAGGGAGATGGAAGAGAGTGTTATTTAATTAGCTTTCCTAGCTATTTATTCCTGTGCATGTGAGGCACAAAGAAAATGCAGTACCTTTGCACAACACTTCTCAGCGTAGGATCGCCAATCGTCTATTTATAGCCACCTGCTTG